AGCATTAAGTATTCTTGTTACTAAAAAAGAATAAATTAAAAAAATTTTTATCTCCAAATTTTAAAATCTAGCTTTTGTGAATCTGATTTTTTATTAAATAATTTTTGCTCCCCATTCAAACAGTGAAGAAAAACTTAGGCATCTACTGTAATCACATTAGTGTGTAGACTTATCTATCTCCTGGTCCATGGGTGAAGAAAGCAGAATCAAAGAGATGGCATTGCATGCAGGGCATTGTTGCAGAGCTTTACCAGCTTTCAGGACTGTTGTCACTTTTGGCTGCTTAAGAGTGCGATTTGCATTTATTTGAAACATTTGGTTTAGTATGTGCTGGGCTCTATAGTAGGAGCTTGGGACATAGACATGTATTAGACATGCAAGTTCAGTCTAGTTGGGGCCATCTGTGGAATGAAGTAACTGCAAAAACCACACTATAAGCATTAGAATACTGGTGCTATGTGAGATGTAGATGATGGCATGCTTAACTCAGACTATGGGATAAGACAAGAAATGCTTCACAGGAGAAATACTTGAGGCAAATTTTAAAGAATGAGTTGGCTAGGCTGGAAAAGGGGAAAGGAATAGCCAGAAGAACTAGCAAGTATAAAGACATGATGCCTGTTTGGGCAGTTGCCAGCTCAGCAGAAGTGAAGAGGGTCTAGAACAGGAGGTGAGCAGGAAAAGGAATGCAGACAAGGGCTCTACCATCGAGTATCCAGGCGTTTTACATGGAGGCGTCACACTGAATTTGAATTTCAGAAACTTCAGTCTGCCTTGCACCAGAGCCACAGAGGTCAATTACAGGCTATTAAAAATTCTAGGGGAGCCAAAATTAAGACCCAAAAGAGGATGGTGGCAGTGAGGATGAAGCAGCAGCAGAAATAGGTAGTTAAGAACACTGCCCAAGTTTCTCTTGAAAATCAAGAGGGACATAAAAAAGAGGCATGAAAATTAAATTTCCCTTTAGTTTATAGCCGGATTATCATTTGATGTGGCAATTCCTGTTAAATACAGCCTAATCTCTAGGCATTTTCATGGATGTCATCATCTGAGTCCCAGCAAGTGACTCCTAACCTGATTCCTAGGATCTGAGACGTCGCATGGTCCTTCACCTCGGTCACCAAGGCAGCCTCCCCGGTCTCTTCTGTGTTCCAGCCGCCCTACTTTTCACTTTTGTCTAAATAACAAGTGTTCCATCATGGGTGCTGTTCCTGCTTGAAAAGCTTTACCTCCCGAGTTCTTTCATAATAACAAAAACCTTGTTTCTCTTCAGGCTAACAAAATGCTGTTCAGTCTTATTTCTCTGACTTCAGAAGGAACATATCACACCCTATTTTGACAGTCCGAGAAGAGGCATGCTGCTTGTTGAAAGGACTGAATGCGTTAATACTAAGTTTCTTGCATATGTCAAGGGCCCCACATAGTTCTTCTGGGGTTTTACCTGGTGGCTCAGCTAGCTGTAAAGAATCCGCCTGCAATGCAGGACACGCCGGTTCAGTGCCTGGGTTGGGATCCGCTGGAGGCACAGGCTACCCACTCCAGCATTCTTGGATTTCCCTGTTGCCTGCAATGCAGGAGACCTGGGTTCTTCAGCACTTACCATATGTACATAATGCCAGTACAGTGTGATAACTTCTGTACAGTGTTCTCTGTATTGGAATTATGTGCTCGTAGCTCCCATTTAATTGTGTGTTCTTTGAAAGTATAATCATTACTACTATGCATGTACCTGTGATTTTCACAACACTCTGTTATGGTTTCTGATATAAAACCAGTTATTAACATGGTTTGCCTCCATTGTCCTCTCGCTGATATATACTGGCCAGTAACAAATGATTAGAAAAATCAAGACTTTAAAGAATATAAAGAAAAGATGTTACTTTTAAGAAATATCAATTATATAGTATGTCATTAGAAGACAGTCAGCTTTTCCCAGATTTGCTATTTCTTACTCAGGGCCTTAATAGAACTTTGACTTTTCAGTTCTAAGGCATGGGAATAGCTTATCTATGTGAAATACCTTTATATGATATGGTTTTGTTATTTAATAATTGAATCATTTGGGATGGGTACTTGATATGATGTTGCCTGTTAGCTCTGAACATGAAGATAAAAAATACAACATAGAACTGCTCTCAAATGTTTACATTCATTTGAAAAATAATATACCAACTCTGCTTTTGTTAACATTCATTTTATAAAATACCTTAAAAGAACAGATAAAACTGTACTGGAGTTTACATAATAACCAGAATTGGAAAAGGATGAATAAAATATAAATTAATTGAACACATAGCTATTTTGCCACATTAGACAAGTTTTAAAAAGGCATTAAAAATAAAATAGTAATTAAGAAGAAAACCCTTCACTCAACTGCTGTCATTTTCTGCAAACTCTTCCTAGAAACACTAAAATTCCAGGTCAACAGGCAGTACCTGTATTGTTGAAAACATACTGTAATTTGCTTTCAAATCTGTCAGCATAAGAGAAAAAAAAATGAAAAATTTAACTGGGTTAGATAATTCAGTGCAAATTAAAGCTTCAAGTTGAAGATCTCAGAGGGAAAATAATGTCCAAACTGTAACAAATGCTTCTGGAACTGAACAAGAAAAAAATTCACATTATGAAGAAATCTTAGCAAGTGTTCATGTGTGTGGAATATTGAGTTAACCAATGGGCCCTTTGAGGTTCATGGGCAATTAGGGTTCTGTTATTAAGACTATTTGCAATATAGGCAAGGGAATATGGATGGGGAGGTGTCACCTTTGTGGAAGGAAGTTCAAGTTGACCATAAGCACTGCTGATTAAATTCTAGAAAACCTGGCCAGGATAGATATTACAGACATCATGGGGAAAAAGAGATTATGGAGATAATCTACTGGATTATCTTTGAAGGGAAGTACTTCTGCCCCAGAGTATGTCTGGGGACAGGGGAGAGCAGGTTAATGTTGGCCATGACCTGTTTTAATTATATAAATGATATGTTGTACTGGCTTTAAAAATAATCATATTACCAAATAAATCTTGAGAAATGGGAGGAATGTCAAACTTTTTGGACCACAGTGAAACCAAGTCTGGATCATTTCCAGCCATTAACGGCTAGTCACTTTTATGATTAAAAACTATGTTTTTGTTTAATTATTTCCTCAAAAAAATTTTTTTGAGTTTGGTAAGTAATAGGTAGCAGTAAGGTTTTCATGACAGTGTTTTATAGAAAGTTCCCCTCTTTCCATTCCATACAAATTTTTGACTTGGTCTTTTTCATGGTAAAACTAATGGTTGCTATTGAGAAGTAGATACAGAGAGATTTCGGTTCAGGCTAGTAAGTTTTCTTGCAAAATAGATTTTAAAAATTTCAGGTCTAAACTTACTATATTGTCACTATTTTTTTCCCTCACTTTCATTGGAAATTTTCACTCATTTTTAAAGATTGTTTGAATGAGATTATACTATGCTTTCTAACAATGTTATCACAATGAAGTGGCAACTTTTGGCTTTTAGACTGTACCGAAGATCAGCAAGTCATAAAAAAAAACAAACCCAAAACACAGTGCTATTTCAGCATGACATCAGAAACTAACAAATGAAAAATCATGATATAACATGGAGTTCATAAAGCGATGGAGAATTAGCCAATGCAATTTTTAAAAGTATAAAAAACTGCCTTCATATACTTACAGGAAGAACATTTAAGGCAAATAAAAAATTCTCTTCTAGGGACATGAACCAGCTCAGAATCAGATGAAGAAATTAAAACATGAGCACAAACTATCCAAGGCCTATGACTCCTCAAGTACCTCGTTAGGAGACCAACTTGTCAAGTCAGGTGCGTGTCCGCTCACAGAGATGTGCTGGTTCCCTCCGCAGGTCAACACAACAACCGCACAAGTCTTGACTTAGCTTCCTTTGGCTCTGCTACACGTTTGCTCACATGCTTTCAGATCCCAAAGAGGCACTCCTGATCAGATGCATCTTTCTACATCACACTGTGTGAAGTTAAACGAGCGACAGAAACGTGCACAGACCCGCAGGTAGTACACATTTAGAAAACCACCCGTGGGTCAAGCATTTAACGCAGACCTGGTTTCGTCTCAATTCTTCACTAAGTAATAATTTAAAAAGAAGACCGCCTGAAAATTCTGAAGCACTGGTGGAAACCTTCCATGCTTTTGTCTAGCAGAGACACTTTTTGACTGTCAAAAGTGTGGATAAAGGATAACAGAATACCACAATGCAATCACTTTGTGATGGTTTGTGCTTTAAGAACACAGTGCCTGACAGCACGGAGCACATCACAGGTGCCCAATAAATATCTGTAGGTTTATTAAAAGTTAATAATGTGGTTTCTGAAGAACCTACCTTCATTTTGCAAAAAAGGCAAAACTATATAAATTTCTTTCACCTGAACTGGATGGAACAATGTGGAGCAATAAATGAGACTAAAAATTAAATATGAACTCTAATTTGATGGTAGAGAGAAAATTACTATTAAGAATTTTGCAAAAAAAAAAAAAAAAGAAAGAAAACATTGCCACAGTAGCATTAGCACTTAACAGTGCGTCAAAGATTTACTGTTTCCACTGCAAGATGAACTGGTTCCTAAACTCGTTAGGTACCAGAGTGTAATCACTCAAACAGGAAATGAAGTCTGTTCCACTTTGGGAAAGGTATGCTCATAATTTTATCAAAATTACTAATACACTTCTGGGAGATGCCCTCTTATTCAGTATGCCTGGTAAGTAATGCAGGCGTAAATATCCAGGGGCCTCGTTATGTAACTAGTATGGCATCGTCATGTGCAAGTGTGTTCCTCCCACCTCTGCAGTAGTTGCTTTCCAATATTTCAGGTTTTTTTTTTTTTTAAACAGTCATTACACTTGGAGGATGACAAAGATGAGAATGTGGAAGATTAAAGATCACAAAACTTACACCAAAAAGGGAAGCTCTTCTATATTATATGAAAATCCCTTATAAAAGGCAGTTCATTAACCAAAAATGCTTTATACATTCAGATTTTCCCCATCTCTCAACAGTGATGGTTTCCAAAGAAAAGACTCAGTAGTGAAGGCCACACACTTGTTTTGCATTAGTTTGATATGCTGAAAATCAGAACCTTTAAAGCATCTTGTCAATGGGAGAAATGAAATTGGACCTGGGTGGGAGGCTGGGATGGGAACAATCACAATGGATATGTGACCTCGCTGCTGATGCACACAGCAAGGGAGTTGGTAGGAAATGTTACAGCAGACCTGACCACTGTACAGAGGGCCGATCAAGAACACAGTACAGATATCAAAAAAACAAAAATTGGAAAACAAAACTAAAAAAACAAACTGCAACTTTGCCAACTTGTAAACAAGGAAAAGCATTTCACAGATTCAAAGTTCAAGGGAAGTAAACGTCTTTAAATTATTTTTGTCAGTTCAACCCTGATTTAAAAGTATGGCTAGCAAAAGTAAGGAAGCCGCAGCCCTTGGCATCCTGAGCAAGCAGCAGCTGTCTTCTGAGAAGCAGCCACTTCCAAGCCTCTCTTCTCAAAGATGCCACGTGAGGAGGAGAAAGCTTCTCTCTTGAATCCCATCTCACTTTTCTCTCCACACGCCTGGGATAGTCAGCAATTGCTTCGCATTCTGGTCTTTATGATCCTGGTTGCTATAGATTTAGACGTGGGGAGACTGGAGGGGGGAAGGCAAATTCTCGGAGGATGCTACGGGCCACCTCCACATTATTCTGGGCTATTTCTAAGGCTCTTTTCACTTCTTCAAAGGCATAGCCCTCTCCCATGAGTTTTGCAATTTTTGCATCGACGTTTTCCAATGCTGCCTCCGGCCCGTGGGGTTTTCGGTGGTGAATTTCGGGTGCAGTCCTGCGGGGTCGTGGTTTAGGAGGTCTGGCTGGTGCTTGTGAACCATCTGAGTAAGAGAAGTATTTAAATAAAGAGATAAAAAGAAAGACATTATACATCAGTAGGATTTCATTATTTTATGTTAAAAGTTTTTCATTGTTTCTACAAAAACCATTTTTATATACTGTGGTTGAATAGGTTATATTGTCCCTATTTTGAATGTCAGGATAACAAAGGTAAGGTGTGTTGGAAATTTGAGAAATTAACACAGATGTCTTCCCACTTCTATATATTATTCTTTAAATCATATGAAATAAAAGATATAGAAGGAAAAAAAAACTGAAAAAGAAAAGCTTTCACCCTGGCAATACAGTCACCCTTCTCTACTATGGTGGAGATAATTTCCTGGGAAGTTTCTACTGAAGGAAACTGTTACAAGCTCAAGGATACTCCTGCTAGAACATCCCCATCAGGTCCTACGTCCCACCCCATGTCACAAGCAAGACTTCTGAGAAATGCTTTGCAGCATATTTTTCCAGTTAGAATGCTGGAAAGAGAGGCCTTACTGATGCTGGGGGGAGAAAATGAAAGAGCAGATGCTTTGAGAAGGCCGTTAGTCAATAGGTTGGTGCTTTGCTGAAATACTTCATCCAGATTCCAATGTAGAAAGCTTAGCTTGAAAAAAAAAACCAAAGCCAGCAGAAACAGTAGTGGAGAACTGGGTTCCAGGTCTGTCTCTTGATACTCGTTTCTCAAAGTTAAACCACATGACACTGGTGTCCAAAAATGGAAAATAATCTCATTAAGAACAAAGCAAATATAGGCCACCACCATGTAGATCACCAGGAAGTGGGCTGGTGACTTAAGGGGGCACTTTTATCACATTTCTCCATTTATCTGTATATGGTATGTAATATCAAAAGCCTACATTTTAAAGAGATTAAAAGTTGTCTTAAACCCATAAATGTTTGATGGCATAAATTTGACAAGACAGAAACCAATATTTATTTAATGCTTTTTTTCTTAGATGACTGACAAGTGCCACATTCAGGGACACAGTTAAATAAACGAAGAAGCGAGGCTAGAACACAAATGCCTCACGACTCCTGTGCTCGTCCTATCCTTCCTGATCTCCGCTCCCTCGCCAACTTTCCTGGTGGCGTCTGGAAATGCTGTAAGCTGGTATTTTTAGTAATAAGTGTAGATCCAAGAATCACTTGATACATCATTTCCTGTTTTCTCAAAAGTATACCTGTCTGAGAAGGTAATAAAAAAAAATTCTGTTTGCACTTCTAGCACTATCAATATAACATATACAAAAGCCTCCAGGATGAAAATATTTAGTTCTACACAAAATTGGATGATATTATTCTGTAAGAAAGAAACAAAAATAAGACTATCTGGTTTGAAAAGATATTATAGCCATAGATAAAGCTCATTCTACTCAGACATAAGAACATACATTAGTTTCTGGTTCTTGGTAAAGTCTGTGCTGTTTTGTGTATCTGTAACTAAACATCTCAAATTATTATGGTCTAGTAAATTGCAATTCTTACTGTTGAGGTTTCATTTATTTTTCTATTAAGTATTTCCATTAATGTCATGCAGAGATGGACAATAAATTATGCTTTGCTTCTAATCCTTTCTGAAAAACTATTAGATTCTAGCAAGACTTCCTTTAATCAGTTACCACAGAATTTATACATTGAAATACTGTCTGTTCTGGCTTATTTTTTGGTGTGAAAAGGACCTAGAATTAAATACAAAGTTAAATTCCTTGTACTGGTGGTTTTTGAAGAATTTTTCCAATACTGTTATTTTGCTCCTGTCTAAAATACTGAGAAGGGCACATGACTATTAAGCAATTTTGGTAAGTATAGCTGCGTAGACTACTCAACTGGGAAAGATGCATCTCATGGTATAATAAAAAATTAAGTTTTAGAAATTTTAGATTTTAGATTTAATAAACATGTGTCTTTGATCTTGGTAGATGACTCTAAAAAAATGACATCTATCACCAGGAAAACCCCCCAAGAGATCTATTCACTCTGTGGGGCTGCTGTAGGTAATACTGGCCAAATGTAATGGGAATGTGCAGATGGTAAATTTTTCTTGAGAAAGTTATTCTCTTCTTAAAAAATCATAAGTACTAAGCATAATTCAGGAAGCCCATTAGGTTAAACCAAATGTTAGGGAAAATACCCCACAAATGATTAAATCAAAACTAGAGGAGTGACGGTATCTCTGGTCTATTTGAAATACCAACTAGAGGAAATGATTCAAGCCACTTGTGGAAAGAATCACAATAGATTTTGGATATATTTTCAGTAGAAAGGAGAAACATTTTTTTCTTTAGATACAAAACTCTTACATATACTGACTTATTTAACCCTAGTCCTCGCCACCATAACTGATCATCTATTTCCCCAGAACAGTGCTGACATGTCTTTGAAATCTTACAGATGCCCCGAGCCCATGAATTATGCATCTAATGCATCATGCATTAGAGCCCATGAATGGAAGTAAGTGGAAGCTATGTTGCAACTTTTTGCCAACTGTTATATATAAACTTCTATTTATTGCTGAATATTTTATTCCATTTGGAATGCTTTAATTTTTGTTTGACTATTTTAATTGGGTAGTGTAGCTCTGCACCAGCAACTAATAGCTGTAACTTTTCCTGGTGAGGATGTCAGTGAGGAGCACCACTCAAGAGACTTAGATTCATCTCTGCTTGGCCACTCAGATTTTGAGTGACTTTCAGCTAAGTAGGCAGTTTGCTTTTATAATTTTCACTCTGCAAATATACTTTTTTGTCTCCATTTTTAAAGGTGTAACTTTTCTCAGGGAGTATGTGATTAATGTAATGCTTGGTATATGTGCTGAGGAGACTTTGAAAAAGAGAGGACAATGAATTCACATTTGTAATGGTAACCACTATACTCAAATACTGTATAGAATAGCAATTACTATAAATCAATAGGGATTCAAGTGTGAAACAGGAAAAAAACCTTGGAATTTGTAGTGAGCTCTTATAAACTTTTAAGCAAGATACCAACAAGTAAGATCTCTTAAAACTTGAAGAGTAACCTTTAAGAATAAAAAAAAAAAAACCTGTTAAAAAAGTTTCATGCTGATGATTATATCAGATCACTTACAGCCAACCCCTGTCTCTGGACACCTCTTCCTAAAACTCACGGGCAGCCTTCACTGTCTCAGTGTCTAGAAGAGGAGACACCAGGTCCTTACTCACGCTGGAATGTGGAGATGGTGGAAAGGAGCAGAGGAGCCGATCTCAGAGTTCCCTCAAGGATACATGTATCCTTAAAACTGTGATTGGAAGCACATGTGTTTATTCTGGGGTCACTGTCCAGGCTCATGGTATTTCTGAACTCCTAGGAGCAAGGGCAACAATATCCAAGTTCAAGAAGATGTGGAGCCACCAGATGCAAACAGGGCACCACCCTGGTCACTAGTTTTACTCAAGGGTATGAGAGACTTAATGTTTTTAAAGACGGAAATGTAGACATACCAAGTAAAATGTAAAAGTTGCAGACATCTTTGAAATAACAAAGATTTTTAAGGCAATTCCTTGCATGTGATGGTCCACTTTGAGTTAAAGCTGTAATCCCCTTGTCATTCAGAGTTAGCTCTTTGGTGGGGAAGATTTGAGAAGCTCTAGTGTGACAGTATATCAAAATGATGGACTATCATACAATAATTTAAAGTGACACTGACATTTCAAAAAAAGTTTAATGATGTGTGAGAAAGGTATGATACTACATTATACTGGGGAGTATGATTTCCACTGTGTGAATGCGTGCATGATCAACCATTAGAAAGAAGGGCTCCAAAATGGCAATACTGTTTCCGTTGATGACACGGTTCCAGGTGACTGTCACTTCTTTTAAATCTACTTTATTCTCTAATGTCCATGTACTACTTTAATAATTTTAAACAATACATAAAATTGTTATAAAAGAAGTATTAGTATATTAGTGTTATTTTTCTCACAAACATGATACTATGTTCTGTGGTTTTAAACCTGAAGCTGTGTATAAGGAAAAACATTTTAGGTAGCTGAACTAAAGTAAAACTCGATATATAACACTGCAATTTCCTTTGTTGGAACACAGAGCCTTAAAAACACTATCTTAAAATATCTCTAATAACAATACACAATTCCAACTCTTAAGTGAAATGAAGCCATAGTTTCCAATTGAGGTCTTAATATAAAATTCATTCAACATCTGATCACTTTTCCTTTAAGCTAATGAAGGAATAGTAGTAATGGAATTAATTCCTTTTATGAGACCTCCTTTATTTTGCAGGTATACTTGGTAATAACATCTGTTACAAACACATTTAATCCAAGTCATGTGCTGAAATTCTAGCATTATTTTTAAGTGTTGCCTTAAATGTCCTTCTAAATACTAAGAATATTAAAAAGCTCAGCTGTACTCATCAGCATGAGCAAAAACACATCATTATGACTTTTGTAGTCTGTCACTTGGATTCCCTGGGTTTTTAAAGAATGGTATTAAAACTGTAGCACATATGTCTTAAAGCAAACTGAAAAATGTGTAAAAGCTCCTGCATAGCTAGTATCGACATGAACCCCATGTGAAGAAATAAGCAGATTATTAGCAAAATGTTAATTTTGCTAATAATTTTTTATTATAATAATAATTTTGCTAATATATGTCACCCATATACAGGTATATATGAATTTAACACAAGCTGGTAAAATCCAATTAACTATCATTATAATATATTCATATCATTAAATACTGTTACATCTAAAAACTTTAGAGAGTTATAAACTTTTGGAGGGGGAGTAAGATATGCACACATCTTTTTTAGATAAGTGTATAAGGAAAATACTTTTAAATCAATTAAATTTTTGGAATTAGAAATAGTCTTCTCATAAAGTTTATATACATAAATTAGTCACCATCAACTAGATCACCATAAAAAATAGAAATGGAATTTATAAGATGCAGCAAATTATACCAGAATCCTCAACAGTCATCTTAAAAAGGCCTTAATACTATAAAAATGCTACTG